ATAGGACATTCTCAATTTACAATCACAGTTTGAGCCCAAATTTTTTGTTGCTAAGCAAGACAGTGGTTAAGTGAGTTTTGCTCCATTTTATGAGCTTTCTTGCCACAGTTGATAATTGAATCACTGCAGTAGTTAAGTTAGTAACATGATTGTTAAGTGAATCGGGCTTCCCCATTGACTTTCCTTGTCAGAAGATCATAAAAGGTGATAACAGTGCAACTGTCATATATATGAGTCAGGAGGGAAGGAAGGGAGGAAAGGATGGAGGGAGGGAGAGAGGGAGGGAGGGATATTGCTTATTTAGCCTTACTGAAAGACACAAGAGCTAAACAGGGGAAAGAATCAGAATTTTGAGAATGTATTTACATTTAATTTTACAAGAAATAAATCGAATGACCATGTAGATGATTCAGAATTACATAAGCAATAAAACTATAATTACCTTTGTATTAATGTCTGTAACCCGCATAGAGCTTTATTCGGCAAAGTAGCGGATTGGCGCCTGACGCGAGTGATAGCAGAGAAAGTGATTAGGACGAGATAATTGCTAACCAAGCGAGATAGGTAGGCATTAATTAATAATTAACTGTCTAAGTAGGAATCTATAGGAAAATGTGATTAATTCTCCCCAGGTTTAGAGGGACTGACACTTATTAAAACATCATAAAAGGTTTCAAATACCCTGGGGTTCCTTGCATGTGTGCATATTTAAAGAAAATTCTGGAATAAAACCCACTCAGCTGATTACAAGGGTGAGCTGTCGAGGTTAGATTTATTTCTACCACCTCCAGAGAATGGCTTGGTGCCAGCTGAATTCAAACAGGAAACAGAATTATGGCTGATTTCTTTTCTGCCCTACATCACATTGCTTTGCAGCCCCCATTCACTGAGAGGATTGACCCAGAGGTGGGTTCGGACCTGTTTGGACCGGTTCAGTCGAGTAGGTAGTAACTCAGCCTACCACGCCCCTGAACCGGTTCTCTCAGTGGCGCCATAGGTGGTGCCATATTTTTTTTTGCTTCTGCTCATGCGCAGAAGCGTTTTTTAATACTATGTATCAAGCATGTGTATGCACGGTGCACCCCTGAGTGAATCAGCAGTAGCAGCACCCGGAACCCACCCCTAGATTGACCATTACCTGAAGAGTGCACAATACCATTACTCAAACTCAAGGCCCAGGGGCCAGAACCGGCCCATGGGGTGCTTAGATCTGGCCCATGGGGCCACCCTGGAAACAGTGAGGGACCGGCCCATGGTGTCTCTGCCAGTGAAAATGGAGCTCGGGAAGGCTCCATTTTCCCTGATGGAAGGATGCAGGAGGCCTTCACAGCCAGAAATGGAGCTTGGGAGCCTGCTTTCGCGGGCAGAGTGCTTGGCCTGCCACAGGCACCCCCAACATGAGTGACATCGAGCAGGCTTTGATTCCTGCCATATTCAACCAAGTTGGCCAAGGATGCAGATTCATCAAATCTCAGAGACATCAAATTAAGGAAAGATCTTGTAGAAAATCTTTGATGAAACCTTTGCGCAAACTCCAGCTCAGTGTGATTCACTGTCACATCAGCTCTGTTGTGATAGCTACGTTCTCTTCTAAACACATCCTTAATTTCCTTCTAGCACTAGGCTAATAACAGGTTTTTATCATTTGAGGTCTTTTTAACACAGGGTGAATATCATTTCATTATTAGTTTCTGTTGATAATAATCACTGGTTATTTTTCACTTTTAGGGAGTTGATGTAATTAATTGACTTTTATTAGTACAGTAATGGCATTATTTTTATCCTGCAGTCTCTCTCTCTCTCTCTCTCTCTCNATACATTGTGTTTTTTTTGGTTATTGTACGTCTTCCCCTCCTATATGAGTTGTTAGCCGCCCTGAGTCCCCTCAGGGAAAAGGGCGGCCTATAAATAAACACAACTGAACTGAACTGAACTGAACCATAGCACTACTAAAGCAACAGTCAGATAAAAGGGGCTTGTGCCCCGGTCAAGAAGGTAACATGATTAACCATTTCAGACAAGTCCTCCTTAATTCATGCTAAAATAAAGGTAAGGAGTGGGGAAGTGTATTCAGACTAGCACGTTTACTAAAGCTTTACAGTAAAAGTAACACATGGATTTGGTTTCCTTGTCAGGTTTACTCTACTGCAAGATTATTAAGTAGTAAAACAATCCCACAGCATCATTGAGAGTTCACAGGCACTGTAGTACGCAGTTTGGGAACTGTGGGACTACTTTGTATTTCCAAATTAATTATTGGTTTCTCATGTCCAATGAATATATTATTTCCTTACTATATTCCCTTAACTTCCTAGCGGGTCCTAGAAAGCACCCTTTTTCTATTGTAGCTCCTGCTGTGGGGAACCGCCTTCCTGATAAAATCTGGCTGTTCCCCCTTGTTTTTCAAAGCTTTCCAAAAACCAGAAAAGAGCTGGCTCTTTCTCCAAGAACTGAGATGAAGTGAGGATGGAACCCCTTTGTCTATTAATGGGTTAGGAAGCATTAATCAGGATGCTGGGATTCATTTTGGCTTTTTGGTGGTTAGTTTTATTATTTAGTTTTGTGAGTCATACAGAGTTGTTACACATCAGATGAGCAGCGGTGGTAATCCTTTAAGTAATAAAATAAACCAATGTTGAAACATCATATTTTGTTATTAAAAAATAAACTCATTTTGGTCTTAAGATTGCTGTCTAGTATACCTTTTTTCCTGAAAACGACTTCTGTAAAACTGGTAACAAGTCATTGGTGATGAATGAACCTTCAGCTTCCAGATAACTGATGCCCTGGGGTTCAAAGATGTTGACCTCAATCTGAAATGTGAATTTGAATCATGCTGTCACTGACAAATTCACTGACAAATTCAGGAAGAAGCCTCCAAAGAGGGCCCCATACTAATGCTAGTTTCTAAATCTTCCTTTGAGTCTTGAGAAAAACAGTTACTATCTGTTCTTACTATCATCTTAAGTAGCATAAATGCATAGTTATGACAATGATAAAATGTGTACTAACACTCATTTAAATCCATTCTGGAAAAACTTAACACCATGAATGTGTAATTTCAGAAGTACATTACCTCAAAGTTCTTGACAAGTTGTTTTGGGTTGACTTTTATGAACATCTCATAATGGCCAAATCTTCGCTTCAGCAGCTCCTCAAAGGCCAACTCAAAAACCACTTCACTGGATGCCGCAATATTTACTGAAACTGTGAATTTTTCTGTCTTCCTCCCCGAAGCCCTAGAAAGGCCCAGTTTTTCAATTGAGCATACATGCTATTGCATTAAAATAAAATGCATTTTAGAGTATTTTTATTTAAAGGAATGTTTCAAATAGTTAAACATCAGTGAAATTAAACAAAAATGTCAATTTGTGAGAAATGGAGTTCCTACATACGCTCCAAAATGATATTTATTTTAATATTTATTTATTATGTTTTATCAATGGGAATAAAATACGACACAGAAAAAAAACAACAGATAAAACATACATCCAACAATAACAAGAAAGAAAGGAAGAAAGAAAGAAAGAAAGAAAGAAAGAAAGAAAGAAAGAAAGAAAGAAAGAAAGAAAGAAAGAAAG